ATTAGGTAATTATACTGCATTGTATGCTGACTTGTTGTTTTTTCATTAGGTGTTTTTGTTTTTTAAATTCGTCCATGCTTATAAAGTTATATGACATTGTTTAAATTCGTATTGATATTGTGTCAATGTAATAGTTAAGTGTTTTCAAAGAATTACACCCCCTACTTGTAGGAACTTTAAAACAGGCTTATAAAATAAAAAATAGAGAATATCCATTTTCTTATCTTGTATCAATACCAATGTTATTATTTATGGGTATTTTTGTATGTATATTATGGACACGATTGTTATCTAGATAATTATATATCAACAACGGTGTTCAATGTTAAGTTTTTAGACAATAATTTTTGAAGTAACTTTCTTGTTATAATAATTTTATTGTATACATCCATTATTTGAAACATAACTATTTATTCAAATTAAAATATAATAACTTTGTATTAATATTACTATGATGTGTTTGATTGTGCTTATTACCACAAATAATTGGCTATTACTAAATTAATTTTACTCAATGATACAAAAAAGATTATATATTGTAGCTAGTTGAAGTCATACCTTCATAGATTGAAAAAGTTATCGAAATTCTATGTAATTAAAGGAAAACCCTCAAAATATTATGATTTTGAAAATTAGTAAATCAGATTAAACATTTTAGATATCTTCCTTGTTCATCGATAATCTAACCCTCGACGTACTTGCATAGTGATGGGGTTTAAAATATCAATATTTCGATAAAAATTTAACTTTCTCTTTCTTAATTTTTAAAAAAGGTTCGGAAAACCCTGTGTTATTTAAATATATATTAAATAAGTTATGTTATATACTTGTATTGAGTAAAAAAAAAAGACTTCTGAACAGTGTTTTATGTGTATTCTATCTATCAAAGTTAAAAAAAAGAAACGTGTTTTTTTGTAAAAATTCAGAAAGTCTATTCGTATTTTATTTATAAACATTTTCTAGGGAAGAAATTATACAATTAAGTACGTATTTAAGTAATTTCATTGGTGTATAATGGAAAGGTGGCTAAGAAACTTATTCCATTCAATTTTTTTTTTATCTTTTAGTACACATTGTCATTGAAGCCTTTTATAATAGTCATGTTAATGTCTGTCAGATTACAATCTATATTTAACTCAGCTACGCCACATCTTCATAGTGATGGTTTTTTTAATTTAGTATAATTTTTGAAAATTAGCAATAATATAAATTTTCTGGGGCGTATTTTTTGATGCAGCCAGAAAAGAACAAGCCTCTATAAAAATCATGCGATGACTTTTTTGTTATTTTAAAGGAAATTTCAGAAAACAAAAAAAAGTTCATTCAATAACACTTAATATAAATTTATAAAAAAAAATTCCTTTAGGCCTATAAAAAAAGAATTCTTAATATCTACCTATAATAAATTTACATTCATGATATTCCTATACAACATGAAAATATATCATGTAATAGCTTTATGGTAAATACAATTAAAAATCATAATCAATAAAAAATTATGTCTATTAAATAATTTTAGGTCTCAACAATTTCCATTTTGATGGGTTATTAAATAACTAAGCTTTTTTCTTTTATAAATTGAGTTTTATTGAACATTAAATTAAGTTAATAGTAGATCAAGATTTAATAAAATTTTAAAAATATTTTATGTATAAACAAGTAGATTATAGATTTGTATAGTAAGCTCAAACAATTATGTTTGTTGAAATTATAAATTAATTACTGTTTACCTAAAATTAAATGAAATTTCTGGTGGACTTAAACCATATATTTTTAGGAATAAATGAACAAGTAGAACATTTTTCAAATATTGGCGTTTCGGCTATTTGGCTTACTCCAATTTATCAGACTCCTGGAGTTGACTTTGGTTATGATATTTCAGACTTTGAGAGAATTGATGAAACTTTTGGAACAATGAGTGATTTTGATAATTTGGTTGTAACGTATCATAGATACGGTAAGCACTACAATGACGTGTAAAACAATCCAAAATAAACAAAATTTTATTGTTTTACTAGGAATAAAAATTATTTTGGATTTTGTTCCAAATCATACAAGTGATAAACATGTTTGGTTTAAAAAATCTGTTCAAAGAATAGCACCATATACAGACTATTATATATGGCATGATGGAATTAAAAATAGTGAAGGCAAAAGGATGCCTCCTAACAATTGGGTAAAATTAAATATATATTATATATTTTTTGATAATACATCTATTAATAATTATTAATAGATGTATTTTTATCAAAAAAGTAATATAAATATTAATTAATAAAAGTGTATTACGTATAATTAGTGATGAAAGAAGTGAAAATTTCAAAACAAATATTAGAAATTTACACGAGTATTTAGACTAAATTTTTGTTAGAAGTATTAATTATATAGTACAATAGTTTTATCTAACCGGTTTGGATGTGTGACTCATGATAAGATCGTTTATTTACTTATTTATATTAAATTACGTTTGTGAAGTGATTAGTATTTACACGTATATTTATGATTATAATAGTTGGTATGATCGTTAACCTTAATATTTGCCGTGATTATTTGTTTGTTAAGTTTTGGTGTTCATATATTGTATATATATCAACCCAGTATCCCCATCTATTAAATCTGCTCAACATCTATTTCAAAACATAAATTAACAGATGATTTTTTTCTAAAAGGTGTTATGTACTCGTTGCGAAGTTTACATTATGAGGTTCAATCAATAAAAAATTAATTTCTAACCTAAGAAAACACTTCAGAAATAATTCTGCATAAAATATATTATCTCATTAACGACATTATACTACATAAAAAACAACATTTAGATCTTAAAAAGGATATAAACATTTTAATTACTAAGTTAATTTAATTTAAACCATAAGCCACGTTTGGACTTGTTTGAAAAATAAAATAGAGTCAAAATCTTGTAATTTAATCTTATCAATATCAAAGAATCTATTCCTAATCATAAATCAATTATTGGACGTAAATTAGGTTAAACCTAAAATTACCCTTTATTTTTGTTAGTCAATTAGGTAAAGAATCAAATAAGTCTAGACTTAATTCAACTGAAACAATTCGCTTAACATTATAATCAAAAATATTTTTATCCAAGCTCCCAGATTGCATAAACATAGAAATAAGTTCTGATTTTACATTTTACCAGTAATTCGTTCTGCTATGAAGAAGGAAGGAGCATGATCATAGAAATACATCTACTGTAGATAATTAAGATAAATAGTTTATATATGCATTCATAGAAATATAAATTTTATAGAAATAACTAATTAAAAGCGCAATTGATTATAAATGTATAACTTAGAATGTGTCTTATTTTATAATTAATAAACTTTTATATGGTTATTTACAAAATACTCGTGGTTTAAAAACAAAAATAAATATGCCGAGTTTAAATTATTTTGTAATTACTGAAACTTGGCTAACTTCTGAGATTAATGATTTAAAATTAGGTATGATAGACTATACTCTATATAGTTTACACTAAAATTCTAGCAAAAGTATTCATAATATAAATGGCGGCTTATAGCTATACAATATTTCTTTAAATTACTTACCACTTCAAACTTAGATTGTGAGCAGTTGACAATATTAGTTACATCTTTAATATGTAACATCTTCACTATTGAAAATCTTTATAAGAAAAATTGTGATTTTTATTTTGTCCGTGACAATTATTATCCCATAGATTTGTGTTCAATTAGTTATTCTTCAATCCTTTTGAGCCAAAAATACTTTGCACTCAATTGTAGAGATATTTTACCAAATATTATATGATACCTTCTATAAATTTATATCTAAAATTAAGAGCATTAAAAAACACATTTATAAATGATATAGTTAAAAGCTAAAAATTGTATATTTCATTAAAAAACTTAATCATAAAAATTATAAGCTCCATATTTTATGACTAGTTCAAAAAAATTAGTTTGTAAATTTAGACCCACATAGAAACTTTGGAATCTTCCAAAACTATGAAATCTATTAGAATCAATTTTGTTTAATACATTTAGTAATACGCTGTCATTATTTCACCATAGATTTAAATCTGAACTGTCTACCAAAATCAATATTTTACTTTTGTTGAGATTTACTTGAATCTATTGTAAATAATCATCAAGTTGACGTCATATATAATGATTTTCACAAGGCATTTGATTATCAATTTACAACTACTTTAATCCCTCGAAAAATTGCAGATTTATTATTCCTTTCATCCAAATTAGTAAATGCAACTATTTCATGCTCATGTTCTCGTTTTTATGAACTCATTACATTCCATGTACTCTCGCATTGTTAACTTTACATATTTAATTTTACTGTACAAATTACGGTCTAAATAATCCAATCGAATGAATGTTAAATAGAGTAATACAATAAAGTTGATATTTCTTAAGATAGTCTAACTGCCATTAATCTTATTCTCTTATTTTTAGTTTCAATGTAAAGCTGAGAAGGTATTGATTTTACTATGATGTGTTTATTTTATTTTGTATCTATCTCTACTTTTTATCAGGTCTCACTGGACTAATTTTTTTCAACGATACGTCAAGAGACCACAAATTGTATCTAGTTGAAGAAATTAACCCCAAAAGTTAAAAAAATCTATTAATAGTATTTGAGCCTTAAATGTCGTTAATTTTATATAAAATAATTAGAAATACGAGGAGTAAAAAATTATTTACACCTTAACACATAAACATATAAAATTTACAACTCATGATGATTAATCCACAACATTAGATAGTGTGTCTCTCTTTTATAGAATTAGTTTACATTATCTCAAACTACTTAACATAAATATTGCAAAGAGATTATAGTAGGAAGGTCCACAGCCAACTGGCCGGCTAATAAAATTGTATGACAAATTCTTTATTCAGTTTAAACATTTTCAATTTCGTTTGACAAAAAAAAAAAATTAAAAAGTAAAACCCTTTTGTTAATATTATTTTTGTTCAGCTGTCAGTGTTTAATAGTGGTTCCGCGTGGAAATGGAATGAGCAAAGAAACCAATATTACCTTCATCAATTCCTCGAAGAACAACCAGATTTGAACTTCAGGAATCCAAATGTTGTACATGAAATAAGAGTCAGTACCTAAAATATAAAACTATATTTAACAATACTTTTTAACAAAAGTTCTATTGATTAATTAGAAAGCGTTATATTTTTGGCTTGAACGCGGAGTAGATGGATTCAGATTGGATTCTGCTAATTTCTTGTTTGAGAGCAAAGATTTAAGTAATGAACCAAAAGCTGAAAACAATACTAACATGAAAGATACCGATTATTATTCACTAAATCATACATATACTATTGACCAACCTGAAACCTATGAGTTACACCATACATGGCGAGAACTACTTGATGAATACAAAGAGAAAGATGGTTCAACCAGGTTTTAAGATTATACTAGTTATTATAGATGTGGGCAATAACTGCCCATGCATTTAGACCTATAGGTCCATTCTGCACATAAGATTGTATTAAATGTAATAATTAACGTTTAATTATTTTGATTCTTGTAAAATCTTATACTTCCTTTGTTGGACATTTTTTTTTTAAGGTTTTAAAAAAAATTAGGCAAATATTTCTTTTGTGTATTTCATGACACATTTTATTGATTAATAATTGATTAGTAATTAGTCATCGCATCATAAAGTTTTAATTGCTTTTCTAAATTATTGTTTCATATAATTATTATCTAATATTATTTATATGATTATTTTATTGAAACAAATCTACTTTATTAGACACTTATGAGTAAAATGTTTTTCAAATATATTTTTTTAATGCTTATTTCAGAAATTTTTGAAAAATATGGGAGTGACAAGTGGTTTGAATGTTACAACTTTTCAAAGTTGACGAATTAAAAACCAAAAATAGGGTTTTTTAACGCTTTTTTTAATAAATTTTATAATGCAACAATAAATTTTTAAATGATCAAAATTTAATGATAAAGTTGAAGAAGGGGGAAAAATTGGGCATTTACAAATAATAATATGAAAGTTGTAATAAATTTTACGTAGGATAAACAAAAAGAAATATAGGGGTCAGGTTTAAAGAGCACTCAAAAAACATTAAAAATCAAAAAGTTAATAAATCTTCGGTGACTGAACATTTATTGACACATAATAACTCCATTAGAACCATAAAACTAATTAAAAACATTAATAATTACAAAGAATTTAATATAATGGAAGCAATATAAATGTTTAAAGATAAAAACAATTTAATTAATTGGGATCTTCGTCCAATGAAAAATTAATTATTAGACTTGTGTAAACTGGCAAAATTTGATAATATTACTTTGTGATAACGTCACTAGGAGTATTTTCCGGTCGGGATGTCAGTATGTGTTAAACGTTGTAGTGGTGACATTATTTCCGAAATACGTGATTTTTAGTCAACTTTTGATGGCTTGAGTTTAATATTTTTTAGATTTAAATGAATAATATTTTTAATATAGTTTTAATTTTAAATATCAACATTTAATTACAGTTTTTCAATGGCTAAATGTTAAAATATAATCAACTTCTTTGCTATAATACAGATTAAAGCAAAAAAAAGACTACGATAGAGTTCAATTGTTTTATAAAATAGAACTATTTTTTATGTGATAAAAATTTATCCATAATTTAATAAATATAACTCTTTATTTTAATTTGTTTTGAATTACAATCCATTTTAACTTTGTTTGAAATGATTGTAGTCAATAACATTAGTTTGACAAGTATAGTAAGAGGTATCACGATAGTATTTATCATATCATTAGTAGCGATATACTTTTTTTGACGAAATTTAAAATTAATTACTAAATTCATTATAAGTAGAGTTATACTTTTATTTTTCAGATACACACTGTAGTGTATTGATATTTACCTTAAATCTGTGTTACGACTTATTCCTTTACTTCACAAATCTTTCATAATTATTTATTTTATTTTTAATTTCTTAAGACGCAATATTGCTAGTTATTATATTTGGTGATAAGAACGTTCGATTACTGAGCTAGTGATCAACACAATTGATTAGTATTGCAATCCTTCTCTCAAGTGATGGACAAAAGGGTAAAATTTATATGTATATAGTTCTAAATAGTTTAATGTAAAATAAAAAATATTGTACAAACATACATTAATGATAACATAATGCAAAGGTTTACAGTTCAGGAAAAACACCACAAAAGTACATTAACAACTGACTGCTGAAACTTAGTAATAATCCATATAATACCATGTAATTTTATTACATGGTTTATTACTGTTTGACACTCACTATAAAATATAAGTTTAAAAAATGTGTTAAGTCTACCTAGCAATGTTCTATTTATTAAGCCATTTTTTGCAAAAGCCATATTTTTTAGATGACTTAATAACTTTAAAACGACGTAACTTTTATCCGGTTTTTTTTCATTTTCTAAACTAGCATATTAAACTAAACTAATTTAATAAAAAAATTTTGAAAAAAAACGGTGTCTCATAAAGTAGATTTTACCATTTTTTTAATTATTTATAACAAGTATGTGTTTAACAACGAATGTGATAATTTATTTTATAGGTAACCTTTTATATATCATTACTTAATATTGTAGGTTACTAGTTGTTGAATGTTACTCTCCTTTTAATCAGACTATGAAGTACTATGGTAACAGTACTGTACCCGGTGCACATTTTCCGTTTAATTTTATGTTAATTATAAATTTCAATCGACAATCCAATGCGAATCAATTACAAACTTTGGTCACTAAATGGATAAAAAACATGCCCAAAGGCATGTGGCCTAACTGGGTGGTAAGTTAAACCAAAATAAATAGTGATATAAATAATAGTACCTTAAAAATTTATATATATATACAAAGATTTATGAATAGCATACATAGCCAAATTTTTATAAAAATAATTGCAAGTATAGGCAAATATGGCCTATTCTTAAAACTATAAATTAAATAAATATATGAATTCAAATAAGGCCAACCTAAGACCTTTCATATTTTTGTACGAGAAATAATGAGACAAGCAAAATAAAAAAGTTTTTAGCTAATCAAAATATTATGTCATTTACATATTTTTGTTCGTGTGGTTTTTTAATTTTGGTGCCTGTGTCAAATCGTGCAAAGATGATCCAATCGACAAAAATTTTGTATACGTAGTGTGAACCGATTTCGTTATCTTCTATCTTATTTTTAGTAACAAATACCGATGTTTTTAACATAAACATAAAAATAAAAATTTCCACAAACTTTAAAATGCTCTAAAAATTTATGTATAAAATATTAATAAAAATTTTGCTATCCGATTTTTGCTAAAAATTTGGTCTACAGAATGACTAACTTGAATTATTTTTAAACTGATATCTTAAATTTTAATTAATTTAAATAAATTTAAAAAGATATTATAATTTATATAATTGTTGTAGTTTAAAAGTAAAGCGATTATTTAAAAAAGTATAGTAAAATCAATAGTTATAGTTATTTTTATAGCATGCTGGGTCGTTCTGTATATTTAATTTCATTTATCATATTATATACCTTTTAGTTGAGAAGTTAATGTTTCATAAATACCCTTTTACTGAACACAGTTTAAAAATTATTAACAGTTTTGTCTTGAAGAAAATTTAGAATTAATTTTATTGGTTTAAGTTTGTATTAATTACTTTACATTATAAAAATACAAACTAATAAATATTAATTTCGAAAATAGCTCGGGAACCATGACAATAGTAGAATTGCTTCGCGATTTGATCCAATGCTTGTAGATGGATTACATATGTTTCAAATGCTTTTGCCTGGTACCCCAGTTACATATTACGGTGACGAACTAGGAATAAGAGACACATTTGTTCGGTGGGACCAAACAATTGACAAAGGTGCTTTAAATGTTGGACCTGAAAGATATGAAAAATTCACCAGAGATCCTGTAAGAGCGCCGTTCCCTTGGAATTATTCAATCCATGGAGGTAAATGGATCTAGAGAAAAAAAGTGCTGATTTTTGTATAAACTGTTTAGTTTTGATTACCACCAAGTATTGTTATTAAGGGTTTTCCTATGGAGAAAAAACGTGGTTACCAGTTAGTCCAGACTATTGGAAAGATAATGTTCAAAGTGAAGAAAAATATAAAAGCCATTTGAAAACTTACAAACAATTAACGGATTTAAGAAAAAAACCAACGTTCACTCATGGAAATTTGCATGTGTATACTATTTCTGATTGGGTATTTGGATTTTCAAGGTGGTCATTAATACTCTCGAAATATTTTACATTCCTATAAATCTATATTTATAATTGAATTCCCCATCTACTATGCATTTTTAGTTCATAACATCCATAGTCCGCACTTTAAGACCGTTTAAACAATAATATTACTTAAAACTTGCAGTAATATAATTATGGCAATACTAATATGATACTACTGTTTTAATTTACTGCAATAAACATTACAGGAGTTATACTGATCATCCAACATATGTTGTACTAATTAATCTTGGTAGTGAAATGGAAATAATAAATCTACGACATATCAGAAGATCTCTACCTGAAATTTTAATGGTCAAAGTGTCAAGTATTAATTCTGGTTTCGTTACAGGGTAAGATTAAACTTATTGTACAAGTAAACTATAATCAGTTCAATCTACTATATCAAAAATTAAATTATAATTATAATATTTTTTTAGAAACTTAGTAAGCAGGGAATATATTACATTGAGACCAAAAGCAGCTCTCACTCTTACTACTTCATGACATCATGAAAAATGAATTACACATTTTAATTTGCAACATTCATTTAAATGCAAAATTATTAATGTGATTTTTTTTAACAAAAAAGATTTTTGTACAACATATTTTACCTAGAAATTAAATATTTCATCAGTAATTTTAGTATTTAATGTTCTTAAGTTAATGAATAACTTTTTTCATTGCATTTGATGAGACTTGTATTTATTTTAATTGAACAATGAAACTTAAGGTTAAATAATTAAAACGAGTCTCATAAAAATACTTCTCAATTGTGCTCGTATACAATTTCAATAGTTAGAAAGCAAATGTTGGGATACTTTTTAATTTGCTTTAGTATGGATTTTTAAAAACTGTTTACAACAAAAAAATTAAGATATTAGCTTTCAAAATTTATCAACTCAAATAGAAATAAGGATATGTAGTACACATCATTAATAATGAAAAAATAACCGTTAAACAGAATGTTTAATTTGTATTTAATATAATGGATAGGAGTATCTGTATGCAATGGCTAATCGTGGGAGATTTCGAAAAAATGGTCATAATAACTATTTTGACATCGCAACCTTGTATTAATAGTAACGTAATTTCTTTTGTACAAAGTTTCACTCGTCATATGGGCGTGTCCAAAATAAAAGCAAAATGTACCACCTCTGCTAACTACGTGTTTAGTGCAAAAAAGAGGGTTGTCGTGTTGAAGTAGCCTACCCACCCCAAATACAACAATTATTGGTTTGCGCTGAGTGTGTATGACAGACTAGTGTAGAAACTATTATACTTTATACACAATAGCTCTATTAAATAAAAACATCATTTTTATTTATTATTTTAGCATTCTATCAATGAAGTATTATTATACCTCGCATCTTAGGTTAAATTTGAATATCGTATATTATTAAAATAATGTTTATCTCATTTCCTAGCAAAAAAACGTTTTTAAATGAGAAAAAATGTATAACTAAGTGACTCAACTCAACTGACGACTGGTTTATCACTTTTGATGCAATGATCATTTCAGTGTAATTTTGTTTTAAACAATATTTGCATTATTGGACTACATTAAAAGCTTGAAGTTGTTTGTTATCTATTTAAAATAATAAAAAAAATATTTTAATTTTTAAAAAGGCATATTTTAGAGATTTTCTTACAAAAAAACTTAATTTTAATGATTTTAACAATTTTGAAGTCGAGTACTTTCAGAGTTACAACCATTTCAATGTATAAAGTGGGTATATTGGCAGATTAGTAATGCTCGTACTAATGGTGTATATATTTTTTATCGCTATCGACCTATTTACATAATCATTTGTGTAAGAAATGTGATAAAACATGTCTGCTTTTAAATATAAATTAAATTGAATTTATTTTTATTATTAAAAACAAACTTTGTTTTTTAATTAATTTATTATTTATTAATAAAAAAATATGATTTCAAGATAGTCTTAGAATACATAAATTATGATTGAAAAGTCACAGCGAAATGATAATTGCATCAAAAGTTATATGATTTGTCCACTCTGTCTATCGGTACCTTAATTACATAATCACGTGTCTCAACGAATTAAAATAAAAATGTATTAATAATTATTTAAACATAAAATTATATGATATTATCGAATAAAAAAAATCTAAGAATACGTTAAAATAAATAATATGTTTATTGAAAATTATGAAAAGCAAACAATAATGAGCTATAGATGTTTTCAGTAAAGTAGTTTCCTGAACTTATGTAAGTAAAAGTGGGAGGATCAAAGAGAACGCGAGTTACATAAGAATAAAGGGTTATGTTTATGACATGTAGTCTCCCCTAAATATGTTTCACATCTATTTCAGACCGTGTTACGACTCAAGTATACAAATCCAATGCAGGCGGCATTTTTGTTATGTTATGGGCCAACGTCTTTTACACAGGTGGCATGGTATTGAAGTTGGCAAGGCATATTAAATTACGTTAATATTATGTTCAACAAAAAATAGAAGGAAATTATACGGTAGACTAATCAAAACTCGATATGATTTATTCGAGAAAATAAAAGGAACTATTCGTATAGTTTTAATTTTGTTTCCAATGTATAGTTAATAATTGAACTGAAAATGAATTCCCAAGTTTTGGTTATACGTCACACAGAACTTTAGGTTATCTACAAAATAATACAAAAGTGCATTTCGATCGGTGTTATAGACTTTAATTTATTAATTTTATAATATACTCAAAACAGTTGTCCGTATAGTACACTGACAATGGCCCTAGCATACAACTCGTTAATCGTTAATGACAGTGTTTATACTAGTTATACATCAATAAATTAAAGTATATACATATATGATAGCCATTCGAAATGATTATTTTATGTATATTTTGAGAGATAATACCCTATAGACGTACGTATGATTCGGACGTATTGGTTCATTAGTGATCTTTTCAAAATCAGTGACCCCATTGCTCACCCTTAGACATTGGACTTGCGGTATGTGTTCATGCGCGTGCAACTTTGTTGAATTGAATGTTGTAAAAAAATGAAATGTACATAACACAATATTCTCATCTCCGGAGACGGAGTTGTTTATTTGATATCCGTTCATCCCTATATACACTTGCACACACGCCCTGTACTGACAAGGATTGTGGGTGGCTACTATAGGGTGTGCAAAAGCAGATATTATTTATTACTGGCGGCGGCAGCGCACTTGATTCCGAGTCATTGACTCCACCGGCGTTCTATTAAACGGTTTAAAGGCGCGTGTCCACCGCCCTATGTCATTCGGAGGAGTATGCATATTCGTCGCCAACGACCGTGTTACTTTTACCGTTGGGGTAAAAAGCATTTGGGAAAAAGTAATAACACAAAAATTATTGCGTGCGGTTATAAATTAAAAAAATATATTTGAGCTTTGCCGCGTGTGTGTGCGATTTTACTGTTTACCCGATGCCGCTGCCACACTCTGTTTATTAATTTACCAATAATTTACGACCTTTTTGAGACGGCAGTGATTATCGTGGGTATTTTGTGTCGAACCCCTTTTAACTATACCAAGACCCAAACGGTATCTTGCAAGTAAAATGACATTACAATGCTGCATAAGATTAAACAGGAGAATATTTATGAGGTTACCGCTTTTTATTTTTTAATTTTGTAAAGCAAACAATGTTAAAAAAAAATTAGCTTTACACGTTATGGAATAAAAAAATTATACAAATATAAACCGTAGTATTGNGCATAAGATTAAACAGGAGAATATTTATGAGGTTACCGCTTTTTATTTTTTAATTTTGTAAAGCAAACAATGTTAAAAAAAAAATTAGCTTTACACGTTATGGAATAAAAAAATTATACTAATATAAACCGTATTTAGTTAAAATTTACCAAGTATAAAATAATGTTGCATTTTGTTCTATCATTATTCCTTTTCAAGGTTGGGTAACTTCAGCAGTGAATGAACTATTAAGAGTTTTCTTTATCTTTTGATGTATTTTGTTAATTTATGCTACATTCATAAAATTAATACTTGATTGTTCTTCAAAATATTTTCCGTATTAATAATGTAATAATATATACAGAATGAACCTTTTAACATCGAGTTCTCTTAATATTATGTTAAGAAAAATCTTTTAGATATTTTTAGTTTCATATATTTCTCGATTTATAAGTGGTTAATTACTTTTTTAATTCATTCCTAATACCTTAAAATGGTGTTAAATTTTGATTAATGGTAACACATATTTTTAAATGGCTTGTAAAATTGTAAGTAATCTAATTAAAAAAATGAGTGGCCGATAACAACTTTTCCATGATTATTTTATAAGTCATTAACATTTTTATACCTAGATGGAAGGAGAGGTGCGGACGAAAAATGTTTAATGATAAATATCATTATACCCCACCTCACTTTTCTACTTTATATTTTTAAATAATAGATCAAAAGTTGTAATCAGCCAGTCATTATTTTAATTAGATCATATCTTATTTTATAAACCAGTTAAAAATATATTTTACCATTAATAAAATTAATTAAATATAATTAAATAAAGCTAAAATATGCCTAAAATAATTTTAGTTTAATATTATTAATATTGAAGGGAAATAGAGGGGCTAGTATTAAAAAAATCACCATTTATTATAATTTAAGCAAGACTTTTTATTTATTATTTTGTGTCAAAAATTCTGCTATATCAATTAATGATATTATATTTAAAATTATGATATCACAAAAAATGACATAATTTAGATAATATTATTGATGTATCAATAATTAAATTAATGTATCTAAATGTATATTATAATAATGATTTAAAGATATTAATACTATTTATTGATTATTGTGATATGTAGTTATGTTGTTAATTATTTTTAGCTGTGTTAGGAAAAAAAAGACATTGTAGATTTTAATTAAATTCAATGAAAGACAAACCCACACAACGATCAATCATTTTGTCACTATTTATTTATTTCAATTGCAATAAAATATACTCCCTAATAATATCCCTATATGGGGTCTAGAGTAAAGGGCTAGAAAATAATGTTCTCATAATCCTATTAAGGGCTTACACGTAGAAGTTTAAACATAACAAACAATCACACTAGTTTTGTCATTTTTTAACGAAAAAAATATATTAGTTTATACAAAAATTACTAAAATATTTGTGATTTGTATTGATCAGACTATGAAATATAAATACTAAACATAGAATCGTAAGATTAAGTAGACAATGAGAAAAAATATATTACAATATTATTGCTGATTTTGACATTTGCAGAAGGGTCCTAAGAAAGAGACATGCACAGTAGTTCGAATGAGGTTCGGAAAGAAATAGGAAGGAAAGAATAAAAGGCTTGTTCCCTATTGCCAACTTTATAACTCAATAGTATAAATGTCTTTCTTTCGAACTAAGAAAGGAAATATAAATCAAATCATTGATATTGCATGTGTTAAATATAAGTTTTTATTAAAAATAACAACAATTATCACATATATAATTGTTAATTTCAATATAATTAAAAAAATATATGTTTTATAATCTATATTACAAAATACGTAATTATCATCACGTAATAGTATAACTAATGAATAGCACTTAATTATTTGCCTTAAGAAATGATAATCATATATTTATTATAAAGAGGATTAACATAAGGAT